TACCAACCCATCCACTACAACTCTCTGGGTACGACCCTCTAGCCAATTCACCACCCACTGGACTGTGTAGTCATCCAAGTCACAGCCTCTTAACTTGTTCACCAGTATGGTGTGGGATTCCGTATCGAAGGCCTTCCTGAAGTCTCTCTGTTACAAAAGGAGTCTCTGTTAGAGGAGGATTAGATGAGGAGCACCTCAGGCAGCAACACCCACCAGCAGGAGACAGCAGGCTACACAGCTGACTGGCATTCAAGTTTAATTTTAAATAATTTAAAACAGGAACAGCCCCTCCAGATATTCAGGTAAAAGGCATGAGAGAATCTGATATGTGATACACACAATTGTGCCTCCAGCCATACTATCGCCATCCTGGACTCCCCCTGCACTGACAATTAGCAAGCCGCTGCATTTGCAAGTCATGTAGCTGACAGGACATGCAGCAATGGCAGCGCCCAATGGCCACCAGGATGGAGAGTCCCATAGCTGCAGGACTCTCCATCCCAGCAGCCATGGGGTGCTGCCACAGCTGTGAGTCCCCTCTGCGGCAGCACAGTAGGGGGTGCTACTATGCAGAGCCACCCACCTCACTGTGTCAGGCCCAATAACCTCACTTCGGGAGTCTCCTACAGGGAGCCTACAGCTGGCTGTCCCGCTTCCTGGAGAACACCCGTAAGCCTGGGGTAAAGCTGCCACCACCTGGGCACTGGTCTCTGGCAGGGCTCTGTGCACACAGACCCTGTGAACCTTGGGGGTGCTTTGCCCACAGTAATATTTCTGGGTGCTTCTTTCAGCCCAAAGCATCCCAAAATAGCATCAGGTAGAAGTGAGGGAAGATAAACAGACAAACTCCTCTGGCCAAGCTGGGAGCAAAAGGCTCTTCCCCCTCTCCTCAGTAACATAGCAAGGCATGCTGTAACCCAATACCTTTATTGATCGGGGTGGGGGGCACGGGGTTAGAACAGAGGAAGTCAGAATACACTTTGAACAAACATAAGCAATGTGAATCTTTTACAGTCATCCTTGGACACAGTCATCCTTTTAAGACGCGACTAGCCTAAACATAATTCCTAACTCCCGGCCAGTTTCCAGGGTTTTACTTACAGGAAATCACAGGGGTATGTTGCATGTGGTGTTCCAAAATGCTTGCAGCCAGGAAGAGCAAAAGCTTCCCCCTGCCCCTAGGAATTTATATGGCCAGGTCACCCGGTTGCCCAGCCTGAACCAAAAAGAAAGCAAGCGCACACGCACACACAGGTCCCCTGGGATGAACCAATGAGGGGCAGAGAGAGGGGGATTTCTTCACACCCTCAATTGTGAGCTCTCAGCTGCAGGGACAGACCCTGCTTCATGTGCAAATTGAAGCTGAGTACCAACCAACTCTAAAGTTAGACCTCAAAAACGTGTACTAACTTTACAGCTAGTTGGACTTTTTTATAGTATGATAGGTACTTTGCATGTGTAGCTGGTCTCCATTAGTTGCACAATTAACCAGGTAATTGCATAATACCTGTAATGTATAGAGGGGGCCTAAATTACTTAACTTGATGCAAAACCTGGATGTTCTTCAGTGAACAGAGAGGTGTCAGTATCCTGCAACTATGCAGAGGGTTGGACTAGATCAGTGGGGGACCAACCTTTTTGGCAGGCATGCCAGAAATTAACCCTGCCACTATCTCCGAGTCCCACTCTGATCCCCTTCTCCTGTCCAATCTGCTGCTCTGCTTTCTGCACAATCTGCCACTGTGATGCCTGTCCCCTCCCCAGTCTGCTGCATGCCACATATGGGGGCTGCCTGTGACACTTGTGGTGCACATGCCACAGATTGCTCACCCCCGGATTAGATGAGCATCCAGGTCCCTTCCATCCCTATGGTTCTAAACTAAGTCTATATCAATTTAGCTCACTCAATTCTTTATGGATATATAAACCAGTTGTAAAGTGCATTAAAAAGCATTTATACAGAGTTTTACAGATTGGTTTAAATAAAAGCTGTTTAAAAATCACACCCTTAGTTAAACTAGTGCACCTTTATATAGAGAGAATACTGAAGAAAATCCCTCTGACCAGATTACAGAATGCTGAGTCAAGGGAAAATGACTGATATATTCAAGAACGCTTAGTTTAACCCATTCTGCACATACCTTCATCTGGGCTGCTGGTAGGAGCTGACTTATTGTGATTGCTGTTTGATTTCTCTGGGAGCTTGCAGCTGCTTGTTTGTTTAGCTGTGCTTTTCCCCTCAGTGTGGTCTGCTAATGCTAGAGGCAGATGAAAATTTTAAAAAATTCAGTTATTTTATTTATCAGAGCCCACATGTTGCCTAAAACAAGCATGTAAATCTGAAACTGGTCCAATTTCCACAAATGCTAAACACCCACAAATCCACTAACATCAATAGTCAGAAAAGGACATGGAACATTTGTGACAACATTAATGACCTCGTGAAGTTTTCTTACACAGAGAAAAGACCATTTGTATAATTCTGGCTTCACCTTTAACATTCCACATTTAATCATTAGCTATTTATTTATTTGTACATGCCATTTACATGTTGCCAACCCAACAAAGGCTCAGGGGACTTGCAGAAAGGGAAACAGAACAACTTTAAAAAGCAACTAGAATAGACAACACAAAATAACAAAATAAATAAGCAGAGACCCACTAAACATCTCAGCCTAGCTTTGCTGGCTAAACGCCTGCCCAAACAGAAAGGTAAAATGTCCAGATTTGGGCTCTGGCAGGCCTCAAGAGGAAGGGAGTTTTGGAGCTGAGGAGCAACTGCAGAGAACAACCAAGATACTACTATCCCCCTGAGAGAGAGGGCAGGGGAATGGGCTAAAAAGGTCTGGTCTTTCCTGGAGGGATGCACTCAAAGGCTGGTAGTGGGAAATTACACCAGTACCATCAGACCTCCCACTAGCACAATCCCAGACAGATCAATTCTTTTTCAGATGTTAAGCCTTACTGAGAGCAGGAAGAAATCATCCCGATGTGCAGGAAGACTAGCAAGTATGGTAGAAGACCAGCTTGGCTTAGCAGGAAACTTTTCAGTAAGCTAAAACACAAAAAGGAAGCTTCCAAGAAGGAGAAATTTGGACAAACAACTAGGGAGGAGTATAAGAGTATTGCTTGGGCATGCAGGGATGAAGTCAGAAAAGCCAAAGCGCAGCTGGAGTAGCAGAGGTTTGGGGGAAACTGCACCCCAAACTCTTGAAAGCAAAACTCTTGTCACATCTATGTGTTACACCACAGGGGGGTGAAAACTGCAGGGGCAATGGCCCTGGGTGAGGCCATGAAGCCTGACAGCTGTCAAGGAGATAGGTGCAGGGGGGTTCTGGGGCCCTGCACTTCTAACTGCTGAGAGGCAAAACTCGTGACATGGGTGCTTGTGCAATTGTGTCTGTCTTGGGGGGCCAGAACCACTGTAGGCCTGGCTGCTAAGCTACTGTGTTACCAGTTACCAATCAATCATGATTCACTCAATACACAGTTGCTAGCTAATGTAGCCAGTTAATTAGCAACAATTAACACCTACAAAACCCCACACTAAGGAGAGGAAATAATCAATACAGACAATCAACTGCCCCAAGACAGAAACAAGTCAGTTTTACAAGCACCCATGACACAAGTTTTGCCTGTCAGCAGCTAGGGGTGTAGGGCCCCAGAACCCCACCTGCACCTATCTCCTTGACAGCTGGCACGCTTTGTGGCTGCCGCACGGGCACTACCCCTGCAGTTTTCAGCCCACTGCACCTTAACACACACACGGTCATCTATGTCACGAATTTTGCCTGTCAGCAGCTTGAAGTGCAGTTCCCCCCAAACCCCTGCACCAATCTTCTTGAAACTTGGCATGCTTTGTGGCCTCACCAGTGGCTACCACCCCTGCAGTTTTCACCCCCCTGTGGTGTAACACATACACATGACATGAGTTTTGCTTTCAAGAATTTGGGGTACAGTTCCCCCCAAACTCCTGCACCGATCTTATTGAAACGTGGCAGGCTTCATGCTCTCAGAAGAGGCTGCCAGCCCTAAATGTTTCATCCAAATCAGACAAAAAACAACAAAGTTATAGATATGTCATTGATTCCCCATTATACCCTATGGCCAGATCTCCGAGGCGGCTCTGAAGCTTCAGAGCCGCTTTGGCCAGATCAAAGCAGAAACCCAGTCCAGAGTTCCAGATCAGATCCGTGGCACCCGAAGCGGCTGGATCGAAAAGCTGCCTACTTGCACAGGCCTAGTAATGGGGCTACAGAAGTAGCCAAAACAGGCATTAACATTATCAGAGGACTTGGCAACCAACCACAGAACTCCATCCATCCTGTGACTGTATCTCATACCTTTATACCAAGCAGACAATCCTGATGGGTTATCTGTCTACTCTTCATAATGTGGAGTCATTAATGACAGCCACCTGCCTTCACAGGAAAGGCGAAGGATCTCCCTTGCACATTCTTGTAGTATAAAACACTCAGGCTACCCTCAGGTACATCCCCTAGTCCATTTCTCCAGATAAACATCCAGGCATGGTTTTGGTAGTTGCCTCACTGAGTACCACAAACTTCCAAAACAGGCCAAAGAGGCAGCAGCAAAGAGTCACGGAGCCAGGATTTCCCCATCAGCACCTTTTCTGGCCAGACTACTTTGCTATTAACTACTTTACCTTTTTTTCTAGAAGCTAGTGCTGATTTCTTCACTGGTGACACTGATTTTGCACCTTTCTGAGCAGCAGCTTTTCCTCCTGGTTTCTTCCCACTCATTTTCCTGAAACACAAGAGAGGTCAGAGGCTATTATTTAACTTTAAAGCACAAATGTGCTCTCCTTTTCCCAAGCCACAGGCAGTTTCCACCCTAAGGACCTTATACTCTAAGGAATTGATCTTTCAAACACTTATGCATGTGAGTAGCCTAAGGAATGTAAAAGGAGCATCTGTGTGTACCTATAATACTAGGCCTTAAATTCCCAGATAGAAGGCTGAGAGATTCTATCAGCAGTGTAAAGGGTAAAGTATTAGAATGATGCACTTAGCAAGAAAAGCCTGGTTAAACAGCAAAGCAATATATGTTGTATTGTCTTTACCTAAAAGAAACTCAAATACTGAACAGTACAGAAGTGCACATGAAAACACAGGACCTCAGCTGCCCACTTGCTGCTGGGAAAGCACCTTAACTTGCCATTTTTATCTTTTATCAACTTTTCTCAAAGAAGCCTAAAGACTAACTGGAAAGATGAAGCTTGGTAAAGGCAGCTCTCTAATCACATGCTGAACTGATAAGCTGTTTGGGATAGGGACTTTTGCTTACATGTGTATACAGCACCCATCTCAATGAAACCCTGGCCTACCAGGCACCATGACAAGACAAGCAATAATGCTCACACAGCTTGTGACTAAATTACTGAAAAGGAAAGGGACCACATAGTGCATTTTCTGAATAGCAAAGTGGATGCGATGATCCAGGGTCTTTCCCATTTCTATGCTACTTAGTAAGAACTGGTTCTCCAATTGCTTCTTCCACTCCCTGGGGTTTCACCAGTACTACTATGATGGTGCAAAGCACCTTTTGTAGACAGACAAATGGCAGCTGACACCAATACAACTGTCCCCTAAGCTGACAATGTGAAAGTATAATGTGAAAAGAACAAGAACAATACAAGCACTCCCAGCCTAGGAAGCAGCTGGCAAATTAATTTGGTTACAAAGGGCAATTTCCAGTTTTAAGTGGGATGCACAGATCATGGCATATGTTCAGACTTGAGACCTGTCCACACTGGAACCCCCACTGATGTCACTGGAAGTCTTGCAACAAGATCAAAGCAGAATATTAAGTTTACATCCCAACTAATCTTTCTGTTCAGCACCTGACTCAGTAACTATACTTTCCTTAGGAGTGTCACCAGGCCTGCCCATTCATTACTTTACCCATTATTGCTTTTGTCTCCTCATCTTCCTTTCTTGAATCAGCTCCCAGTTTCCATCTCTCTGTGCGTTTCATACCTACCCCCTTCCCAGTCACTAAAATGGTCAGCAATCAAATAGTTAATGTAGCCAAGTAAGGCTATAAATGGATGTGACCAAGTGAAGCAGATCAGTCATCTACCACAGCTGATCTTCTTCACTGGGTGAAACTCATGTTGCCCTTTGTCTGTTGTCCCACACCGAGCCAAGGCCCAACCCTGTGGGACAACTGGTGATGTTTTCCCTGCTTAGATGCATCTCAGAAATTCTCCGGGATGTCTGTAAGTGGGGAAAGCCGGGGCTTCCTGCTTACAGAGAAGCACCCAGGCAACCTCTGTGCATCATCTCGGTGGGCTTTTCCCACTTACAGAGGCTCACCTTGGAGATTTCCTGCGGTGGCCTCTAAGCACAACACCAGCTTTCTCCTCATATAGACGCATGCCCTGGGGAATCTCTGAGGTGTCTTTGCAAGAGCAAAAAGCCAAGGTGGCCCTGAGGGTTGAGGGGTCCCAGTCTGCACTGGGGTTCCCAGGGCACACAGGATCAGGCCCCTCAAGCAGTGCGAGTGCCTGCCTGGGGCAGCGGGGGGGCACGGGCAGCACTTGGCTGCTGTACTCTCACACCACAAAGCAAACAGAAGTCTGCTGCAATAAAGCAGCAGAAAGTATTAGTCACAAATGCACATTTTAGGCATTTGTGGAGCACTGAGGGGCACAGACATCTGTTTGCTCAGCCTTTGCGTTACCATAAAAAATGTAGAGCAGCAGAAAGGCATTGTCCATCCCAGCGCTATCCTTAGGGTTAAGGGCTGACAGTGACGAGATTAGCTTTCTTCACAAATGCAACAGCTAGGAACGTGCGCATGTTTCAACTGAAAACTTGGATTCTGCACAGTAGGAGTCCACAGGCCAGCCAGGAGGAGTGCCTCTCCCACACCGCGCAGTGCCCGGGAGGCCAGCGCCGGGCCCCACCGCGAGGGATGTGGGCAGTTTGGAAAGAGCCCAGCAGAGAGCAACAGCGACAAGGGGGGAGGCCAAGGGGGGAGGCGTGGGAAGAAGGCCTCGAGAGGAAAGGCTGAAAGAACGGGGCTGTTTAGGTCGGGGGGAAGAGAACAGCAGCCCCAAGGAGCTGGGTCACACGGGTCTAGCTGCATCATCCCACACAAGGCTTCGTCTACCCGGGGCTTAAAGTCCTCTGGGGACGAGACTGCCCACCGCTGTGGGGAGCCCGCTTCTGTGCTCTACTGGTCACTCAGCTGCCACCTGCTCCGGGGCCGGGGCCGGGGCCGGGTAGGAAGCCCCCCGAGGCGCTGGGGGCTGCAGCCGGGCCGGGGCGGGCTGTGCCAATGCTCCTCTGGCACCAACCCCGCAGGGCCCCGGCCCGAGCACCACGCCGCACTGCGCTGCGCTGGGGCAGGGGGGTCCGGCGCGGACGCGGGCCTCACCTCCCGCAGCACCACCCCAACCCCACCGTCGCTGGGCAACGGCCGAGCCGGAAGCGCGCGGC